ACCATACAACTGTTATGTTCTTTAATCGAGGGTGTGTTTTATTCATTTGTGTATTGGTTTCTATCGTAAGAACGTTTAAAGTCAGTTTTTCAATTTTTGTCATTTGGCTCGGTTGGAGAGACAATGACATTAAGTTAAATTTCTAAGTGTTATTGTAATTTAAAAATATCGAATATTGTTGCTTTTCACTTGAAATTTTTACAATTTATGCAGAAAAACTTTGGCTGTCTATTGAACCTACTTTTACTAATTTACTTTATATATGTATATATCGGGAGTTACGCTCAATTAAGTGATTATTTTCATCAGATTTGGATAATTTCTTGTTAGCTCAAAAAGTCACTTTTTTAAGCTACTTTCCCTTCAAGATGACCTTACTTCCTGTTCTTTTTGAAGGGTGGCTTTGCGCGGAAAAAGGGGTTGTTGTTTTTTATTATCAATCTTGGCAATGGGGTTGGTGTTGTTTGAAATATACTCATGTCCATAAATTAAGGATAATTCGGAGTCACGCGGAAATCGAACTCTAAAATAAATATATCACCTGTAAAATCAGTACACACATCTTCAAGAATCATATGCAAATTTCAGGAAGTAACCAGATGACACTGATGGTACGTCACAATGACGAGAGTATAAGAGAGTGATATATAAGGAATAAGGCAAAGAAGTAAAATTGTTCGCAGGCGCTTTATAAGCATTTCAGTGCAATAACCGAATAGTTATGACACAAAGGACGCATTTGGATGATCTTTTATGTGGTAGAATTATCGGCCGTCTGGAATGTGGGCGTACCCAACTGGAAGTATCAGACGAACTTGGAATTCCTCAGAGTGTCATCTCCAGGCTTTGGCAACGACTCCAAGATGATGGTAATGTGAGTAGACCTTACAGCACAGGTCGCCCCAGAGTTACAACGCCGAATGAGGACCGGTATTTGGCAGTTACTGCCAAAAGAAACAGGCGGAGCACAGCCTCAGACCTGTCTCGTCAGCTCTCTTCAGCCACTGGTACGACAATTTCAAGGCAGACGTGTACAAACGCTTAGGGCAGATTGGTCTATATATGCCCGTAGACCTGTCAGATGCGTTCCACTTACTGCAACTCACTGTCCCCTGCGGTTATTCTGGAGTAGAGAGCATGCATTGTGGACACCGCAACAGTGGGTTTGTGTGATGTTTTCCGACGAGTCCAGGTTTAGCTTGCAGTCTGCTTCTCGCCGGACTTTCATACGGAGAGCTCCAGGTACCCGTTACCACCAAGAAAAACATCATTGAACGACACCGTTACGGTGGCGCAGGAGTGCTCGTTTGGGGTGCAATTATTCTGGGTTCCAGAACTGACCTGCATGTTCAGATTGGAACCATGACAAGCCAAATCTATCGGGACGTCATTCTGAAACAACATGTTCGTTTGTTTCGGGGGCCATGGGCGCACCGTTTGTGTTTATGGATGACAACGCTCGCTCGTCCTCACCGTGCAAAAATCGTAAGCGAATGCCTTCAGTCGGAGGATATCACCCGTATGGACTGGCCAGCATTCTCACCGAACTTGAATCCAGTAGAGCACGTATGGGACATGCTTGGCCGACGAGTTGCAGCCCGTCAGCCTCCTCCTACATGTCTACCGGAACTTCGGAGAGCATTGCTTTTTGAGTGGTGTAATATTCCCCAAGATCAGATCGATAATTTGATACTCAGCATGCCTAGGCGTTGTACGGGCTGTATTGCATCGTCTGGGAGACATACAATGTATTAACAATCATACCAACCATGTAATATTGGTTTTTTGTAAATAGGTTTTTTTTTTTGTAATTTGCTCCAGGAAGAAAAAATCGCTAATTTTTTTAATAATATCAAACATATAGCATCTTTTTTTGCTCTTTACCTTTTGTTTAAGAAATAAGCTTTACAAATAAGTCAAATTTGTTTTGCTTCTAACTCTTCCTTTGGCTGATTTTGCATTATCCTTAATTTATGGACATGAGTGTATTTTGAATTATTGATCGAAAAAGTGAAATTTTTTGTTATTAAAAAGTGAAATTAGTGTTTTATTCTTGGCATTAATGAAAATATTTTCTCCTTGATTTTGGGGATTGTACAGGAATGTGGTGTCTGCTTGATTTAAAACGGGGGGTGTACGCTTGCAGGAGCTCCTTTCTTTCGGCTCTTTGTTATGGCCTGTGTTCTCCGTGAGCTTTTGAGCTCGGAGTTCGTACTATGGGATTATCATACTTAAAGTCTATGTTTTAATTCCAGCTTCTGCGGGTTCAAGATGAACAATTATATTCCGAAAACAAATTTGTTTGCACTGGGGTTGAGTGTATTTTTTTATAACTACTAAAGTTCCCTCTTATTAATCTGGCGGCTACTCGAAAAGTGAAATTTTTTCTGGATGACCAAATTGTTTGACACAAGATTGGTTGCCATGCCGGTCCAGAGGGCCTCGTGATGGATCAACATCTGCATCCTTTTTCATCAATACAGTCGAGACCTTTTTAACGTGGAGTCCTTGTCAACTGAATATTCTATGAGTCGGGACTCAAGTCGTTCTGGAGGAGACTGATAGGGGTTTTTCATCTACTTGCTTACCCGTGACATCACAGACTTCTGATGTGGCCCACAGCTAGAATTCCACCGATCTTCACATAAGATTTATCGTTTCCTATTATTTCTGTATAACACTTCACTGAAATAATCTCCCTAATGTTCTCATAGTAAATTTAATAAGCGATTGTATAGTTACTTACTTAAAGTCTACTTCGACTCACAGTTATGTGGTGTTGAATGATTGGTTTAATTTTTTTTGTTTGTGCAGAAGCGAGAACTTAGTAATTATTCTTTCTTTCCTCATGCTAAGGAGACCAGGTTTAACCTAACTTTTTAATAGAATGTGATTAAGAATGTAATTACTGGTATTGAGGAAATTTACCGGTGTTGTTTTTATACGACCAGGGAAACTGGGTGCAATGAAATTTGATTTAAAATGGAATGATTTTTATTTGCTGACAATAATGCGAGATATATTTTGCTCTCATGTTAATTAGTATAAGTGCAATTGTTTTCCCTGATAAAGTTATCTGAGGCAAATATATATTAATACAAATTTTATATAACTAATTTTTATATAACAATATATGATATTATAATATGTTTGGTTTGTTGAGTAACATCAACCCTGTAATCTTAAAGATAATAGTTCAGTAAACAGAAGTTACAGTTTAAGTAATTATTTGCTATAGTTGATTGTATAATGTGTTAAAGTTAGTTGAACAATAGGTAGATGTTAAAGTGATTATTACATGGAAGAATTCTGTTGCTTAGTAAGTTTTGGGTTAATATGTTTATTTCCTATCTCTGGGAATAGGTAAACTCATGTACGGAACATTTTATTTTAATCTATAACTAATAATAAATAACTTGGATTTAAAATTACAGCAGTATTTGTTTGTCTTTACGTAAGTTTCTTGTGTCACCCTAGCTCTTGCTATTCTGGGTTCTTTTGCATTTTTTATAATACACAACGCAATCTGAATTAACTTTTTATTTGGAATTTTATGAAATGATTTGTTTTATTCGCTGTCTTCCCGGTTATTATCTAAATAGGTGAAAGTTTCTATTCTGGTTTTGAAATTTATTACTTTGAAGCATTTTTTGGCATCTTGATAATCTAGTTGTATAGTGTTAATTGTTAAAGGCAAATTCCAATATAGAACATTGGTGTATGGGAAACATTTTTGACAATAGAACGTTTTACTATGGGGCCATCGAAAAATAAGTTTTACCCTTTTTTTTACTAAAAGGTGTTCACTTGTTTAGAATTATCGTAGGCAGAAAGCTTACCTTATTTGATATATTTTTTCAAAATAATTCAAGACTTGTCACGGCTAAGGGTAATTGTGAACAATAGAGAAAAGTGAAAGAAAAAATAAGAAAGAAAATGGCGTGAGAAAAGAAAGAAAGAAAAAATAAATTGAAACAAAGAAAATAATGTCATGTCATGTGCAATGTAGTATTTGTGTAACATATGTAAAACAAATAAAACGGATATCTAAAAATAAATACAGTAAAATATAACTGATAAGGTATTATCGAATTAAAGTAACTAAATTTTCTCTGTATGTGTATAGAGTTCTTTATCGCTCGTAAATACGAAAGAAAGGGAGAGTGAAACGATTTAATCTTATGCTAGTAAATTTTCAAGTGATCACGTAATGTAAGTAAAAATATTATATTTATGCAGTATTAATACCGTAAATATTACCCACTCTATAATTTTAACATTTTCTATTCAGTATTTCAATAGTTTCAAGAGATTATAGAGCAATAAAAGCTATGCATCTTTACGCTTATTACGGGACTGCCGTTGAAAAGCGGCATTTGACAGGCATAAGTTTCTATATTTCATCGTAATTAAACTGGTTCTCGTTTGGCTCGCTTTTCATTATTTATGAATGGTTTATTTCTTTAATAAGCAAAAAATAGCCATAGTAAGCTAGTTAGTTTTAAGTCATGGATTTTATAGCAATGAATGAGGAACCATGATTGTAAAATCACTTTCTACTATCTGCTGTAAAATAAAAATTTTAAAAATGCTGTAATTGTGCCTACATTTTACATTGGAAAAATCATTTGGTGAATATCACATGGCATAAATTACAAACTAAATTAGAAATTTTTATTGTAATTGAACATGAATTTAATTTTTCAAAAGCACTGGTTATATATTTATAAGCAAAAAGGAAAGAAGAGATTTTTAAATCTAAAATATTTTCTTTCGCACGAACTGCTGAAATTTTGTTACTTCTACAGAGATTCTACAAAGTCTTTTATGGTCTTCTATTGTTATCATTAAAGGGGCTTTGTACTTTTCTATAGGTTATATGCCTCTATGACTTAACATCTGTACGAATTTATATATCCCACCCTTCGATACGAAATTCCCTGTGTCCATATCCGGCCAAAGAACTGTAATCGCTGCCAGGTAGAGCAGCAGGTTCTTACTCAAGCTAATCCGGCAGGCGATGAGGTACCTGTCCAAGGCGAGCAGAGCTAATGTACCGATGTGAGCAGAACCAAACAAGAAGCCCATGAAAGCGTACCACTGGCAGCCTCCTTCTCCAAACAGCCATCTGGTGGGAGAAAAATAAATGAAATTAATTGTCACATATTTTAAGTGATACATTACTTCTCATAAATTTAAACAGAATTTAGTTTAATAGAAATGTATCGGAGGATACGATTCTCCTTTCTCACTTCAGAAAAAATTCATTTCAACTATCAGATGTCGCAAGTAAAGATTTCTTTTCTACATTTATACAGCCGCTATTTCTCGATATTTCATTAATTTTAAGGATTTAAATGAGAAAGATATGAGTATAGAGATGGCTAATTCATATACAAAATAATCTCATTACAGCAGTAATTTTTATTTCGTGTGCTTGAAATGCTTTCATATTTAAATGTCGAAAGCTCAGTTGCTTCAGAGTTTAAGAGCAGACATTAAATGAAGTAGTTAAATGCATATAAGAACGAATGTTACCTTTTGTTTTAAAATTGATTTATTATTGAACACTTATAAATGATCAAAATTATAAGAGGTAACTCAATATTTAAAGTTTGTAAGTAAATTTTATAGCAACATTCAAGGCTATTTGAAGCTGTATTTGTGAAAAGTATTTTTGGGGTTATAAGCATGCTTTTAAAATATTCGACTTCTTGAAAGAGGCAGCTTTCATTCTGCTGTTTCTATAAGTGATAGTTTCCAAAACGATTGCATTAAAACTATTTGATCATAGACCTATAGTTACAGTTTTGGAAACGAACCAAGTTAGATAGACTTTCAGGATGAGAATATGTTATCATACATGTTCAAGAAATAAAACTCGAGAAAATACGAGAAATAAAAGTCAACGATTCCTGAGATTCAATCAACAGCGATCAACAATCTTAAGCGATTTCGTGTTAAACGGGTTTACTGTATATATGTTACGGTGAAACACCGAAATCTGGAGAATGTCGACTTTCACCGCTGAATGTCAACATTCACATAGTCGCTTGGTGTATGTCCGAAATATTTTCCAAATACTCTTACTTCTGATTTACACCGGTGAATGTCGTCATTCACCAGGTACTAATGGTGAATGTTGAACATATAATAATATTATATTTCCTTCTCCGTAATTCATTCGCGAAAAAACGCACTTGAGACTCAGAATAAGAACTTAAGAATATAAGAACTTAAAACACACAGTACATTCAAAATGAGAAAGGAAAATAATAGAAGTTATAATCTTACCAAATTATGTGATTCAAATCTTATTTATTGCAACAACTTTAACTATTATGACACTTTGAATTGCACAAGAGGCCCTTGCTTTTACAACTGCATTTATTTGTGGAACACTTCCTTTTGGAATAGCAGCGTGTACATATACTCCTCTCTTTTCGACCTACACCAGAGCATATCTGTGATTGTCGACATACACCGGTGAGGGTCCGAATGTACAAGAGTGTAAAGAAATATTCGATCTTTCACCGACGTATTTGGTGAATGTTGACATTCTCCGGTGAAAGTCGACATTCTCCAATTTCGGTCTTTCACGGTAACATATACACGTTTTGCTAAATAATCATGCTCAAGAAAATACGAGAAATTAAAAATTTTTAACGACCAATTAGAAAAAAAATTAACGAAAAAAGCACTTTTCTTACTTGAATCAGTTAAAAACAAAGACGATAAGAAGGTATCATTAATTTAAAATTTTTGCAATCCTTTACAGAACGTTGGTAAATGTAACTAAGTGGTTCAAGTACGTTTTGAACACAAATTTCTAAAAACTTTCTTTCTCTAATGTAATAAACATATAGGTTCCCATGCAAGTATTTCAAAAGTTCATTTGCAAAAACGCGTTTAAATTCGAAATTTTTTCATTAAGGAAATTAATTTTTTATATCATCCCTAAATTAGATGCTTTATTCATCATCTTTTTCAGCTGAAAATAGTTCAAATCATACAACTGTGATAAATTTTTCCGAGAGAGTTTTTCTTGTAACAGAATTTTATTTCCTTCCCCATAAATATTTTTATTAGGACACCTTCTCAATATGAATGTTTTTTCTAGAGGTTTCCTATAAAAGAAGAAATTTCGTACACTTTTATGGAAAGCTTTCAAAAGGGTACCATTTTCTATAAGCCTATTGTGATTAGTTCATTTTGTAAATACAACAATGCGCCTGTAACCAACTCTTCAAAACGTATTTCGCTGTGTATTAATTTAAAAATCCATGCTTAGGAAGAAAAATGTATGTTTATATTTATTTTTGTAAACTACAGTAAATCCTTGTTAACACAAAACTCAAGAAATAAAAAAATCAAGAGTTTGTACTAAAAAAATTCGTGTTAAGTGATGACTCAAATATTTTATTTTTGGAATAATTTTTTCTACATATTAACCATTTACAGTATATATTTACATAAACACTGTAGTATATTATGCATACCGTGATAGAAAACACTACAGTACTACATTAATTAATGTACTGTAACTTGGAAAATGCACTAACAGATCCTTTTTGGGTGAAAAATTCCTGTTTATTGTGCTGTCGCAGACAAGAACAAAAACACCTAGTGATTTCATGACTAAATGCACTCATGGCCGACAAGCGGTCGGTGGTAAAAGCAGCTGAAGCCAGATAATTTGGTCCGGGGCTAGGATACCGGACAGGAAAAATGTGAAAATCTTTGAAAGTTACAGTTAAATGATAGAATTCAATGATGCAACGGACTAAAAAAACAGTTCGTAATTCGTGTTAACCGAAATTTGCCTCAATTGAGAAAAAGTTTTGTAAGATCATATACATCGCTGCCGGGACCGAAAATTTGTTCTTGTTAACCGGGAGGTCGTCTTAAGCGAATTCGCGTTAAAGGGGTTCACTGTATATACAAGTTTTGCAAGTACAACTTATAGGAAGTAATTTTCTAACTTATATAGATATCATATGTACACCCATACCTTAAATTATCGTTCTTAGAGGAACTGAAAGAGTCAGTAAGTAGAGTTAAGGTAATGCTTACCTTCCTGCGAAACTGGACGAAGATGAGAAAGGAAAGCCAAGCAGTATAAGTCCAAGATCTGAAACTGCTAAATTTATCAGCAACAGAGAGGTGGGCGTAACCAGAACTCTGAATCGCAAGAACATAGCTAGGACAATGCCATTCCCGATGCTTCCTAGTATACCTAGAGAAATAAAAACAAGGTAGAATTTAAACATTTGGAACTTTAAATATTTATTCAAACATAAATAGAGCTAAACTATTATTACCTAAAATTTAGGTAGAAGCAATAGTGTTGAATAGAAATAGTTTTAAGAAATGTCAAGCTTTTCAATTTAATTTTGGGCGCTTAATTATCAATTAACAATACTAATTTTTATTTAATCATGTCAGTTTTCAAAACCTATGTGACAATTTGAAGCAAAATCTTAAAAAAATATAGTCTAGAGTAGATTTAAGTCATCGAAATGACCACTTAAAAAAAAAAAAAAAAAATCGGGGGTGGAAAAAAGAAGTCCAACCTGTCTTCAGAGTAGGCTCTGGCAGCCGTTGTTCCATGTATTATGGGCAAGACAACAATAACAACAGTAAATTCTTCACATTAGCTAGCGCTGGTTACAATAGGCATCCAGTAAATGTTTTACACTGATTAGAGCCGGTTACACTCGGCATACAGCAAATTATTTACACTGTTAATTCTTAACACTGGCTAGGTGCGATTATATCCGGCGTTCACTAAACGTGTCTACAATTGCAGTAATGATACTTGAACAGCAGGAGTTTAACTATGCGTACAAGAAAATGTTCTCGGCACTGGTTAAATGTATTTGGTTTCTATTTTTTTATGCAGTATCACAGCAAAATGTTAAGTTATTTATTAGCAATAACATCACATAAAAAACAAAACAAACAAACAAATAGAAAAAAATCTCAAAGGTTTCAGATTTTAAATTACATGCAAAAGGGCATTTTTTTAACGTTTTGTGATACCTTTATTTATTAAATATCAATAATATTCTTTGCACTCAAACCATAAAATTTAGTTCAGTAGCAATGTCGCAAAATAATTTTAAAATCGGCATATCTTTAAAATTTCCGATACATAGTTCCGCGCCCACTGGAGATAAAAAGTTTTTTTTATCCCGCCTTAGAGTGTTGCCATTGCTCGCTTTAAATTGTTGAGTTTATTACTCAAAAATTCAATAAAGTTTTACAAAATATAAAATCGATAATAAAACAAATTCTAAATTTCAAATTTGGTCTTCCAGATGCCCATATTCCAGTCTAGAAGTAAGGATTACGTCTTTCAAAATTCGATGGCTCTAGGTACCGTTGTTTTATCACAATGCGAAAAATAGACATACATTTATGCAGATTTTTCATTATTTAATTTCTTCAAATATAATGCAAGACTCTAACATTTGGTGGCAGTTTGAAAAGTGAAACGGACATTTACAGTGATTCAACGCAAAATCGCAAACCAAAAACAATAGTCCTTCAAGGAAAAAGCCCCTTTGGACTAACAAATGAGCATCTAGCTGTTAAGTTAATACATCTAGTAGATATCGTTCAGTTCTAGCTATCTATTTCATATACTGAGTTGTTTAGGATTTGTCTTCTTTGAGAAGGAGGATAAAATTCTGAGAAAGCAATAACAGAAGAACGAGAGACGATTCGGAAAGCTGCGATGATAATTAATCATATATAAACGTAGCATTTCAGAGGGGATACAGATGTACCAATTAGAATCTGAAGAAACTGACGTAAAAAGTAGTTAACTTAGAAAGTAGCAACCTGCCATTTGTCTCACACTGATGAATAAAAATCGAAATTTATAATGAGATGTTAAAAACAACAATACCCATATGCATAAAAAAATGCTATTATATTATTTCATCGTAAATGGACTCCGCAGGAAGACTTGCGCGCTTATTTAACAAAGCAAAGATTTAATTGCTTAAAACATAGTTGCTGTACATTTAATATCACTGGATCGCTTACCTACAAGGTTTTACTACCTTATATATCAACACTTTCTATTTCTCTAGTTCAGTAACGTTTTGAAATGAAAATAATAAAATGTCTAGGAGAGGATTCCTTTGATACGTTGAAAAAAAGAAAATAAGTATTAATAATATTATTTGTCATTATTTTCTGACGTGAAAAGAAAGAGTTGTATAATATTATTAAATTTACGAGAACTTCCCTCTGTGTGTAAAATGATACATTGTCTGAGGAACGAAAATATAATATGAAGTAAACAATAAGAACTATCGCTATCTGAATGAAACACATTTTATTTTAATTAAAAAGGAAGTTTCAACTTCTACAGAATCAAATTATTTTCCTTGCTCCCTTCTCTTATTTTCTTTTCAGAAATTTGTGCTCGACATGTTTAGAGCAGAAAATTTTTTTAAAGTTATGTAATACTTGTTTTGTGGAGTAAAAAAAATTAACCCCAGAAGTAAAGGCTCATTTCATTAAGCTCTATAAATGCTGAAACCTTTTTAAAAAACTAAGCGCTTCGGTCAAACGTTTTTATTTAATCAAGACAAACTACTATGCACATGTAAATCAGAGAAATATAATAATGAAAGGTAGTGCTTAAACCTACACTCACATGTTCCACTTTTAATAAAGGTAATTATTTCCAATCACTAAAAAGCATAGTAAATGAGCATGGGGTAAAACAATTTATTTTTTATAAAAAGAACTCTTAAATAATTTTTCTTCGAAATATCTAGTTTCTTATTTATCATGCAAGGTAACTATTTTTTTTTAAGATAAATTCTTTTTCCTTTCAAGAACTTATTTGTCTATTACACTACTAAGCACGAATATTAGTACAATATGAGTTAGTTATTAAAAAAGGGCACTTTTAGGGTTTAAAATGGGTTATCAATACAGCCATATTAAACTTTAGAAAAGTCCTTTTTAAAAATTTTGACTTGTTAGAAGGATTTTATTATTCATCTCATCAGATGACACGTTTAATGGGAATAACATGCATAAGAACTCGATAGTGAAAGAGTTTGACCAGCGTTTAAATCTCGGCGAACGGTTGCATTGGATGTTTTTATAGATTTTCCAATGCGTAACATAAATACGAGTCTTTCTTTAGGAAGTACTTCACGAAGTTTCCGAAGGCAAATATTTGTTGTGTACTTTGAAGCATTAAGTCGAAAAAAAAAAAGTATACAAAATCAGAATATTTTTGCAGAATGAGAAAAATGAATAAAGATTATCCAAAGAAAGTAAAATCAAGAAAGCTTAGACTTAAAATCAATAAATAACCAGTATGATTACATATTAAAATATTCCTCAAAGAGACTAATGTTCCTGACTACACCATACGAGATTTTGAATTTGCCTCCAAGAAAATGTAACCCATACTCAGTGATGGCATATGACAAGAAGAGAAGTGAACCGTTTTTATTAACTTACAAACAAGTTATAAAGTTATAGCAAATAATGGAAGTGGTCCTTGTTCACGTTTACGCACATTTAGGTACTAGGACCACATTGGCTGATGTTACATGTAGCTCTTTAGCACTGAGCGTTTGAAAACGGTCAGTGCTAAGGAGTTTGATGACAAGAGACAAAGAAATTGAGACAGTTTTGATGTTTTCTGTGAGTTCAGTTTAGGTATATGGGCTGTTAACTTACTATTTCACTATTTCTCACAGATAAAAATCGGGGACAAGGGTTTCAGACTCTATAGTCTCTGTTCACAGTTCGCTTATCGTAAAAAACTGTGTTGCTTATCTATTCGTGGCAGTGAGAGTGCGAGGGATGAAATATTGCCAGATTTTGGTGGGAAAAGCAGTACATGTTTTTATTCTAGAGTTAATTGATTGTAAAATTTCTCTAAGACATCCCGGTGAATCTCAGCATTCACAGATGATACGAAAAAAATTGGAAATGGAAGAAAAACTATTGTTTGTATGCTTAACATCAGGCACCAGTTGCTGATTTTCTGGTAAAATGGTGTTTCGTGAGTCATGTTTCGATTTTCAGCGGTCTAGTACGAAAATTTACACGAGTTGTAATCAAGTTTCGTCTCTCATGAAGTACAGCACTTAATCCAAATGCCTGTCAGCAACACATGTTTAGCTTTGTGGGGCTGTTTCTATTTTTGCCCAATTTGAAATAGAGAGATTTCAAAACTCGCCAAGAAGTCATTTATCATATATCTCTTTTCTGAGACATTTTTCTTATTGAGCCTAGGAGGTTACTTACAATCATCTGCTGACTGACAAGGATAATTTTGGGCCATTTCGATTTCTTCATGCTTTCAACAACGTCAGTCAGATGCCATTTTGAAATCAAACTCTGACTACACAGAGTTTTTTTAATCTCGGGTACTTGCCAGGGCCTCTTGTGCTGCTTTAATAGATGTGTTCAAACATACCTCTTTATAATCACTATTCGATGTCCTAGGGATGTCTCGTTTTGGAAAACTGTGGCAACAGTGGAGTTTAGAGTGGATATCCGAAAGTGGTTGGATATCCACTCTCTGTTATGAAGCTTTTTAAAAATCCTGATTTTGTCAAACGTATAAGAATAGCAGATCACTGTCCTTTTCATCTCGAACAAACGATTTGCTAAGGAACAAAAACTGGACAGACGTTTTAATCATTTTCTGTATTAATGGTTTAATTTCGTTCTAATCTACATCTGTTAATATGCTGTTATTTTAGTTTACTTTTTTTGGTATTTCCGTCATTTAATCTGGTTCCATTATTTAAACATTTGATATTTTTAAATTTTATTTATTAATTTAGTTTATTAACCCAGATCACGAAGATAACAGTGTACACACGATACAGACTTTTATATCAGACTCTTTTAATGACAATAATATTTACAAGTTTGAGGACATTCTGCCTTTCCGTAACTCAATAAAGTTAAAATTGTATGCAAAAAGAAAAAGAGAGTTTTGTATATTTAAACTCTTGAATGCGTATGAATAACAAGTAAAAATAAAAAGTTTTTGCAGATACCGTAATCCCATTAGTTTGGCTAAAAGACCGAATAAAAACACCTGACAATAGAAATAAGGAAAAGCATTAGAATTTAGGACATGTAAAAGGCATTCGTCTTTAGAAACAAGGAAAAGTACTTCTATCTTTTGTTCGAATGATTACACTTCTATTGTTGACTTTTCTTTTAAATCTGTGAAAG